GAACAATTCGATTTTTTTGCAGTTGTTATTCGTCGAACATTCGACTTCGATGAATTATTAATTCGCCATCACAACTCATTTTATTGCTACTAGCATTCAATGGCTGAAGCTCATTATGCTATCGTATACTATCAAATGCTGCCATCCTATCATTTCATACATTAATCATGCGATAATGTGCCCGTGTGTCTAGTGATCACAGCAAATTGAACTGCTACGCCTAGGTAGAAGTTAGGAGTAGATAGGGATGTGTACAAATATCACATTTTTTCATGGAACATACTCTGCTAGCGTTAGCAATCAAGCAGTTTTATAATGACGGTAACATTTTATTCAAAACAGTTCGACTGATATGAGCAAAGCATCTCCAAGAGAATCCACTATCAGTTCTAGTATTTGTGCATTCACCAGTACGCATGACATACAACTAATGTGGTATTGATCTGATTGAGAGCACTTATACCATTCTGAGGTCTCCAAGCACCTCAAAATGACTGCTCTGATCCGATGAATCTAAACCTCTAACCTGTTTTCTCGCCGAAATTCTCCTCAACAACCATTCCAAATTCAGAGTCTCGGAGAGCATTGAGCGAAATGCGGCCGCAGCCGTTTGGCCACATTTGTTTGCGGCCGGTCCATCGGCATTTACGATTCCGCAGAATGGCGCCTTGGCGGATCCGAGTGCGTTCGCAAGCGCTGTGGCGGCAGCCGCTGCTTCGGCAGCCGTAGTGGCCGGAGCGAATCCGGAGCTAGCACATGCGCAACAACTCCAGGTTAGCTTTTTAAACAACCCAACTCCTCTAGTGAGAATTCAAGCAACAATCGATCTAGAATCCACTCCGATGGTTCAACGGTATGTCAGCATGACCGTAAAATGGAATGCCATCGAAATGTTTCGAAATCAATTCAAAAATTTACTTGATCAGTTGAAATCAGCAATTGCGAGTGGATTCCATTATGGAATTTGAACAGATGCTGTTTCTGTGAAATACTTTTCAGTGCATTTCACCAGCTTTCGTTCATTAGCACTTTCTTACAGTTGATCTTTCAGAATGCATACCTATCCTACCTGTTGAGTTCTTCACTCTCAAGCGCACATCCGAATGCAGTCGCATCACCGTTACGTGTAATGGCCTCACCGCACGATAATAATGGTTCGTTCATTTCAACATCCTATTTCTCGACTATTTTCCAGAGTAACAACAAGACATCGCCTCAATTCGACATGTTAATAGCAGTATCACCGATAATCTGTTAGCAGTATATAATCCAAATGCCTCTCCATTTAA